GATAATTCACTAAGCTGATTCACAGAATTCACTGAAAACACTATACTTCTGATTACAGTTTTATTATAAAGGGCACAACTCAGGAACAGCCAAATGAAGGGCACAAGGGGCAAGGTCTAGGAGAGTCCTGGACACAGAGCTTCCATGCTCTCTCCCTGAGAAATCAGGGCATGTCAGCCTTTCAACACATCAATGTGTTCATCAACCAGGAAGCTCTGGGTGTCCAGAGTGCATTTTGAATTTCTGTCATTAACTGTATACACATTTATGATTGGTATATCATCCTGATAAATTGAGCCTCTTGTTATTATTAAGTACCCTTCTTTATCTTTAATAATACTCCTTGATTTTGAAGACTATTTTATCTAATATTAATATAGTCTTGCCAACTTTTCTGTTTATACTGTTTTCATGGTATGTGTCTTTCCATATTTTTATTTTCAATCTATCTGTTTCTTTATATTCAAAGTGTTTCTCTTGTAGACAGGTATACATGTCTTTCTTTTTTATCCAACCTCTGCCTTTTAATTTGGGTGTTTTGCCCACTTATATTTATATAGTTATTGATATGATTGAGTTAGGTTCAATGCTTACTATATGTTCTCTATTTGTCCCATTTTTTGTTGTTGTTCCCTGCTGCTTTTCTCCTGTCTTCTTTTGGGTTAATTGGCTATTACTCAGTCTTCTCTTTTACATCATTGGCTCTTTAGCTATATTGTTTTTTCTGGTAGATATTCTAGGGATTGGTAAATGCATCCTTAACTTATCATATTCCACTTAAAGTTAATATTGTACCACTTTATATAAAGTATAAAAAACTTACATTAGTTTAATTTTATTTATCCTCTCTGTCTTCTGTGCTATTGTTGTCATATATTTTCCTCTAGAAATTGACCTCAGGCCTCAATGTGTTTACATGTTTACTAATTTTCAGTGTGTTTAGGTTATTTTATGTTTGATTGTTTCCATTTTATTACCATGCTCTAAAATACAGTGTGGCAAATTTTAAATGGATGAAAATTCCAGCAGACCTGGAGTAATAGGACAGGGACAGAAAAAGCAGCAAAATAAAGATCAACAGACAAGCTATGGATCTCTTTTGGGATCCATTTCTTTATCTGTCAGAAAGACTGTCATGGGGATTAAAGGTATTAAGGTTAGTTTATGTAGGAGCTGGAGCTCAGTAAATGTTACCTTCTGATGGAGTTTCGATGAATTTTCCTCCCAGAACTCATGGAAATCTGATCCCCAATGTGGCAGTGTTGGAAACTGATTGAGTCATGGGGGTGGATCCATCATGAACAGATTAATGCTCTCCCTAGGTAGGGGGATTAATGAATGAGTTCTCACTCTATTAGTTCCCATGAGAGCTGG